AACGGTTGTCGAAGGATTGACTTCACTTGTCGCTTTGACGAGTTCGTAGTTTGGTGCAGAGAATGGCAAAACTGACTGATGATGCCGTCGAAACGTTTCAGAATGTACCAAGTCCACTGTCTGATACTGGGAGTCATGACAACTATTATGGCAGACGATTTCGGACTAGGTGCGTTCTACTAAGTCGCCCTGACAACAAGACCAAGTTGCGACTACGAGGTCAACCTACTTCTTTGAAGGATAGCGTTAATAATGTTAAATAACGAGATGTTTTTAATATTTCGCTTCTGAGGCTAATTGAGTCAACCTTGAGCCGTCTCACTTGGGAAGCCACTTCTCTTATTGCACCTCTTCAAGTGTAGAAGCCAGGAAGCTTGAGAAAGCCCCTGTAGAACGTCTAGCTGCCAACAGTCAGCTGAACAGATTCTTTTCATACCGTCAACATTTCCGGATTCAATGCTCGCATCAGAGGGCATCGAGTCCAAATTCTTCATGTGTAATGTCAACAGGAGGGCTAGGGGAAGAATAATGTATGTGATTCAGACACATGGTGAGCTAAATATGAGATATAAATTTAAACAATTTTGATGGGTTACAGATCAAATAATATGAAAACTATGGTGGAAATCAGGATTTCTTAAATATGGTACAAAAGTGTTGCATTCGAATAATAACTAGGCTTCCTGAAGTTGACATCATATTTTTAACCAGCTAATTCGAACATCTAAAAAAAGAGTCACTTAAAAAATTACAATATGCTGTCGTCGCTTAAATAGAATACAAAATTTGTCTCCTTAACTCGTCCTGATCTTCATAAAGACTTAGTTAGCAATAAACACTAATGCCAGTGATAAGGAATAGGTAAGAGAGAGAGAGAGAGAGGAAAAGACAAGGTTTACTAAGAAACCCTAATCATTTCTTTCGTTATGTTCAATTTAAGAGAAAAATTCTACCCTTTATGCAGATCTGGCTGATACTATAATGTGTGCTTATGCTGTAGCTTTTATGTTGGTGCGAATTGTCTCCTTATTCGCCAAGGGGTAGCTAAAACTGACACAACGTATAGTGTTGATTTGACTGTGATTTTGCAACTTGTTAAGAGCCGCAGACAGACCTTGTGGAACCTACCTAAACCTGGGTCCTCTGCCATCGCATTTATGATGATCTACAGCATCGGACAGTTGACTTGGCGCATTCACAGACCTTTAGTCGACATCGTATGCGCGGCATCATCAGTGAGACTTGTCATTATCAGCGCCAAGTTGACTACGATGCCGGCGAAACGTCTGAGAATATACCAAGTCCACGGTCCGAGGCTGGGAAGTATGATAACTATAATAGATGGTGCGTCCAACTAAGTCACCCTGACAACAAGACCAAGTTGCGAAAACGAGGTCAGACTATTTGTAAACATCGAAAGGTGACTACGACCAAAATAAAGTCCACAACATCTTGGTCCTTATATCCACGACATGAAAACCGTTGGTTCCAAGGTTATAAATTGGCCGAATGTACCATATACACCAGGCATGAGATATAACGCATAGGATTGCTGATTATGTATAGTCTGCAAGGCTGTATGAATCAACAGATTAGGATATAACTTTAACGCAAGAAAGAGCCTTACTAAATTAGGCAGTAATTACTCGTCTTCATTCTGTGTAGGTCTCGTTACTATCATTCGTTCATGAATAGGAACTGTACTCACCCTCGGTCAAATAATATGATTAAGAGCTGATAGTTGAATTTTGTCATACTTCCATGCTTACAAGCTCATATCTCATTATCTTAATCATAGTTGCTTACGCACTTACACAGTCTCGGTCAGGGCTTTGTCTTGGGTCATTAGGCCTTGATGATCAGAAGTGGGTTGACCTCGTTGTCACAACTTGGTCTTGTTGTCAGGACGACTATATAGAACACACCTAGTCCTAAGTCGTCTGTCATAGTATTTGTCGTAATTCACAGCATCGGAAAGTGGACTTGATACATTCTCAAACGTTTCGCCGGCATCGTAGTCGGCATCATCAGTGAGTTTTCCCATTCGCCGCACCAAGCTACGAACTCGTCAAACGGACAAGTGAAGTCAATGCCTCGACAACCGTTCTGCCGAAAACGTTTATACTATCACTCCTATTTCTGGCATTGTCTATCTAACTACTCTTTACCCTCTTATCCCACTGGCGCAACTATTATGGCAGACGAGTTCAGACTAGGTGCGTTCTACATAGTCCCCCTGACAACAAGACCAAGTTGCGACAACGAGGTCAACCCAC